CATGGTTATTAACATGAATTTATTACATTATTATTAATATAGTCATTACTCATCCATTACTCACTTACTCATCACATTGACAACTTATTTATTTTAATTAACCATACAAGACCCAATATTAAAAACAGTACAGAATAGTAATATAAAATTATTCATATTCATTTTATTATATCAAAAATAATATTACTGTTATTATATTATTCACCAAACTAACTGACATATTCGGAATGACCATGGGAAACATTTCCATATCAAGGTCCTGTCAATCAAAAGTGAAAACCAGAGCTTGAATGAAAAATCCTAATATAGGACATCCGCCAAAATATGCATTTTTAGCCCAGATGTCCGTACTCATTCCCTCAAGTTCATATGAGCTGCATTGTGTGCCAGCGGCAAAAATGCTTTGCGTTAGACTTCCTGCTTCCCATAGCAGCCCGTGACCCACAGTGGAGGCGATACAATTGAGTGGCTGTTCCTGGTTTGAGGGGGTTTCTATGCCCACAATCCTGGGCTGAGCCCCTGTCTGTCACTCTTGACAGTGAATGTCATGTAAAAGCCTGTGGGCTTATTGTTTTGGCTTGGCAGAAGGTGCAAATCAGTGAAGACCTCTATCTATGGATAATCTGCATTGTTGTTTTGGTGTTCAGCTTCAGTGAGCAGCAACATGTGGATTAGATGAAGGTCGAGAGCCTTACACAATTGGGTTTAAAAACTCATTATTTGCAGCTATGTGGTATTGAGTGTCGTTTATGCACAATTATGTGTAATGGGTACAATGCAATTAAAACATCACTGATGCCTATTGAATCTGACTGATGGGAAAGAAGAGTTTGAGTTTAAATTAATCTCCTATCTAATCCAATCACACTGAGCCTTACCAGCAGGGGGCAGCAAGAAGGCAGTTACCTGAACAAAACTAAACACTTGTTATTGATCGTAAAATACAACAAATATGCATTGTGTATGACTGTGTGCAGCAAGTCTTGAATTGTGCACTAGTCTATTTTAGTCTCTGCTTACCTCATATTCAACATTCAAATTCAGTTTGAAGCATGCACTGCTGCTTTGTAATGTATAGCTGCAGATGATCTTGCGAGTATCACATTTATACATTAAGGCTATTCAAAAAGACATTAATGTGTGCATTTTTTAAACAGACTATATGATTGGAGGAGTCCAGCATACGTTACCAGCAAGAAGTTGTTTCACTTGAAGATCCAGATATGACATTTTGATTAAAAATCACATTTTTTAAAGTGAAACATATACAAGGATGAATCATTCACAACAAGATCATTAGGATTCATTTAGAAAATAGCATGTATTTCCATTTCATTGAAGCTTTAAAGGTGAAAATGGTAATTTCTGTGCCACTAGTGTCACCAAACGGAATTGCAAAAATAATGACTGTTTTCATACAGGTATTCTGAACAGTCACACTGTCTGCCATTGTACACAGTGGCTGCATAAGAAAGAAATCCCTGTATAATTAGGCTGTATAGATGCCCTTCTTAATGTGTGTGAATAATTTGTGTTGTTGCATTCAAAAATCATTATATAGAGTGCAACAGAATGAAACATAATGGCCCTTAAAAAAAACCAAAAACTATTTTTAATCTGACATGACATGTTAAAAATTACATAAGACCAAAGATGCCCATCTGAATGTGTATGGTTGTAATGAAAGCAGGCCTTTTTACCAGTTAAATCTAAATTGGTATGCTGTTCATGGGTTCCACAAAACATATTAAGCAGCACAACTGTTTTAAACACTGATACAATTAAGAAATGTTTCTTGAGCAGCAAATCAGCATATTAGAATGATTACTGAAGGATCGTGTGACACTGAAGACTGGAGAAATGATGCTGAAAATTCAGCTTTGAAATCACAGGAATAAATTACATTTTAAAATATATTCAAATAGAAAAAAGTTATTTTCACATTTTAAAGTGTAATAATATTTCACAATATTACAGTTTTTACTGTATTTTTGATCAAACAAATGCAGCCTTGGCGAGCATAAGAGACTTCTTTCAAAAACATTTAAAAAATCTTACCAACCCCAAATTTTTGAATGGTAGTGTATACATTTAATATAATGCAAGTAGTAGGGAGTATATAAAAAGTACTTGGATGCATCCAAACTAACACCAGTGAGTCGCTGATATGGTGTGGTAAACCACACTTGAATTGCTGAAAGGTCAGGAATTAACTATGGTGACCATTTCACTCATAATGAAATATTTTACACCTGTTAACAAAAGATTCATCCCAACGAGACGCCTCGGTGCTCAATCAAAGAAAAACAGCCCTTTGTTTTCAAGCATAATTCAGTATTTGGTCTCTTTTTGATCACATCCCTGAAGTCAAGGTTTTGATCCTTATGCTAAGATTTCCCTATAGTGATGAGCTGAGACACAGGCTAGACGAGTGCATGGCGGGCCGCTCCTTGAAGTCACACGCTTTGAGTTCAGCCAAAACAATGGCATGGCATTCCTCAGTTAAATGCCCTCATATCTATGGGTAGGAAGCAGAATGGGGGATGGTAGCTGGAGGTGTGTGTGTGTGTCTAAGATCCACAGGTGAGTTTACAGGATTAGATCACTATCTGACTTGACCGTTTTTGTTGATAGGAAAAGACTCGGTGTTTGTCATCTAATCGTCATCTGAGCTATATTTGAACAAGGGGATACCTTAAAAGCACTGACTGTTTCAAGAATGAAGAAAACTCTGTCTAGCCATTTTGTGAAG